AGGGACTAAAGATCAAGATTGTTAAAAGTAAAAGGAAGGAATGTAAAGTTGGTTTATTTGACCAAGGTTAAAATAGATATGTTGTTATCTCTGGTACCCATTAATGAACTTTTGCTGATTAGGACTGAAATGATGAGGTTTTAAGAGACGGGATAGGGGAAGAAGGGATCATTCGTAATATTTCAAGAGAAGGTGATAAATTACTAAAATTGTTTATACTTGTGATGAAGGGGGAAGCCATTTCTTTATATATTTCTTTTCTTTTTCTTTACTATATTCTTATTTTTGCTTTCTTTTCTATTTTTTTCTATTTCTTTTCTGCATCTTCTATTTTTTCTTTCTTTTTTTAGTTTGTATTAATTTTTTATCATTGTAGTTGTAATTTTTAATAAAATTACTATTAAAAAAAGGAAATGCTGCATAACATAGATATTAAAAAACAAGGAATTGTTAGTCAAAGATATTTTAGAATTAAAAACTTCCAAAATTTCAAATAAAAATAGAATCTTGCTTTTCTGAAGCATCACATAAATTAACTCACACTTTTTTTATCTTCTAACTGTCTTCTTTTATCAGCATCCACTGTAACAGTAAGAAACTGTGCTGGCCTTAGTGATGTGTTGGTGGAAACAGTTTGATTTGTGTAACTGGATATTTTTACTACGTACTTTTCTTCTGCTGTGTAGATTTGTCTAAGTTTTGTTTCCTTTATCACCTGTACATGAAAAAAAGTAAAAAAGTGAACACTACAGGAAGTAGAAAAGTCATTTGCAGCTCCAGGGAGTCTATCTGCAGCAACCTGAAAGGTGGTGGATGATATATCTTTCTTTCTTTGTTACTCTATTAATATTTAGTCAATAAAATCTTTTTTGGCATTTAGGCCCATGGTTTGAGCCTATTGTTTTTTAATCCTAAAGAACCCATTGTCTCCCAGATGGCCACACATTTATTCAGGAACACGTCTCACCCTTTCAATCATATTCCTAGTCTTCTCTGTTCCTACAGGGACCTCATGAATATGATACTGATGACACAGGTAACTCATCACAGGGTAGGGAGCATCAAATAACTCTCGTAAGTAAGAGAAAAATCCATACCGGCTGAAAAAAGAAAGAGAAGCAGCTAAATAGCTTTTTTGTCACCATGAATACACACATTCTCTAAGCAATGAGGCTGAGATGGAAATGTGGACAGGAGGTATATTATATTTACTGAAATAAAAAAAATAAGTTTATACAGTGCAAAAACAAAGTGGTGTAAAGTTTATCAGAATTATAATTATACCATAGCCAATTGTGTTGATTTGCTAATCAAATAAGTTGATTTTATTTACAAGTTAGAAAGTATGTTATCAAGTAAAAAAACATCCTTTAATTTCAAAAGAGAACAACAGTAGAAAGGAAGGTGTAGTGCCATCTTGGAATATTTACAGTGAATAAGCAAGTAGAAATAATAAAAGCTATAAAAAAGAAAACCATCAAGTTAAACACCATATGATTGCTTTTACATAGTAACTTGTGTTAATTTATACAATGTGTGATTTTAACATAGGGCTATAATACTTACTGCAGTTCTTCAATTGATTTTGAAGGTCTTTTTTCAGCACATGATTCACTAGGTGCACATACAGCATTCACTCTTAGTTTGCGATTATCACGCATCTAAATTAGGTTGCACCAATAAAGAAGACATGAATTAATTTATCTTAAAATAATAAACATTTGATTATTACAGTGTACTGTATGATATTATTGCCTTCTGAATCTAAAAATATATTCTTTCCACATTGCCACTGTATACAGGTAGTCCTCGCTTACCTACTTCTGTTTAGCGACTGTTTGAAGTTACAATGTTGTAAAAAAACCAGCTTTGTGACTGATCCTTGCATTTACGACTGTCACTGCATCCCATAGTCATGTGATCACCATTTGGGCATTTCACAACCGGGGTACATTTACAACCGTCACTGCATCCCGTAGTCACATGATTGCCATTCGCGTGCTTCACAACTGGCTTCCGACAAGCAGAGTTAATGGAGAACATGGAAGTAAAATTTCAAGTCGTGGTCATGTGATGGCTCACTTAACAACCATGGGGATCCACTTAAGGACGGAAGCAGAAGTGAGGTCATAAGCATGTTGTGGTCACGTTTCGTTTAGCGACCGCGGCAGTGATAGAGTTGCCAGTCCCAATTGCGGTCGTTAAGCGAGGACTACCTGTATAAAATAATTAAGTTGCTAAATTCTATGCATCTTTTTGCTTTCTTTTCAACAGGTAGGATTATTAACCCAAAACATGGTTCACAAATATTTGAGAATGACTATTAACTGTACATCAGAAAGAGCATTTTTATATCTATTAAGGAGAGAGTTCTATTAAGAATGGAGACCTACCTTAGAACAATATTCATAAAATGGCCTATATCCATTTAAATATCCATTTTAAAAAGCTACTGCAATCTTAAAATTAGTAAAAGCATAGCCCATCAGAATATAGGAAATAGGTTCTACTTTATTCTGTGTTAAATGAGACATATGTCAAAAAATGCATCCAGTTCTGAATGCAAACATTTTAAGAACAGTATCCTCTTGTGTGACAAAGCTGGAAACAAGCAATGTAAAAAGTAGTTGAGAAGAGCTGAAAGACTGAAATGCAGAAGGTGGAGGAGAGTTATTCTATGCTGTTGCAGAAGGCAAGACCAGAACTCAAGAGCTGGAATTGCAAAACAAAGTTTGAGTAAACATTAGAAGAAACGTCCTGACAGTAAGAGTTGTAGAGCAATGAAATAGGTTACCTGTGGAGACAGTGGACTCTGCTATGTAACAGTATTAAAGGAGAGGCTACATCTTGTACTGAGCAAGAATTTGTATTAGAATAAAATTGGTGAATGGCTGCCTTCTATATATTGCTGAACTTCAACTCCAAGTGTCTCTCATTACTGGCCACCTGGCTGGAGATTCTGGTAAGGTCTAACTTATATTCTTTGAAATATTTATGGGCCACTCCAAGCAAGATGATTATTCTAAACAAGAAATTGGTATATTAACCAACTAACTCAGTATGAGAGTAAGGAAATTGAGAATGAAACTCTATCTTTTATTTGTGTGTGTGTACGTGTGTGTGTGTGTGTGTGTATCCTTAGAAGCAAGACTCACTGTATTCAGTGATATAATTAGGAATAAAGCCTGAAGCCTCAAATATTCATCTTTATTGCTAAACAGAATAGATATCCTCCATCCTACTTGTTCAACAAGGTAATTTCTAAAAAATATTATTATATCATGCACCTCTCTTGGCTGATAGGTGGATATGCTATTTAATTAGGCATTCTTAGTGCTATTATAATGACAGTAATAACATACAGTGCTGGCTGCTGTACAGCCTACTTCTTATTAAGTCTGCTACACCACCAGTTTTTAATCATATGACTAGGTCTTTACCTCTTTTAAAAACATTTCCATATCTTCCTTCATTTCAAAGACAAAGGCCCTCATATCTTTAGCAGAAATGTGATTTTCTATGTATTTAGCATGTTTATTATCTTTCATATTGATCTGCATAAGAAGAAACTACAATTACAAAAGGAAATGCATTTAAAAAATCCAAAACCCCTAGAGTTTTGAATAATGTACACCATTCCCTCCACATAAGATGTTCGTGCAGAACAATAATTAGTTATCGTACAGGACTACATGAATACCAACACAGCTTTGCCTGTACAGAGCAGAAAGTCAACTTGGAGGGCCCTCCTAAAACAGTGGAACCTCTTCTCCAACAATAGTACCCATTAAGGAAAATTGTTATATTTCATATACATCACAACCATGAATGCAATGAATTCACCCCTGAAGCACTCAAAAGGTGAAGATATGTGAGCATATTATTATTACCTTGACTTAATAAGCATTATATAACCTCAACAATAAATAATTAAAAATGTTAATATATCACACTTTTGACATTCTGAAAAAGAGAAACCCCCACTTAAAATAACTGATTAATTTCATCTCTGACCCAGAATTAGCTGTAGAAACAAAGGTACTTAAGAGGTCACAAATTGTGTTTACATTTTTGAAACAGCTTTCATTTCAGCCCAAGAGGCAATACTTTTCTGGAAGGCCCTTAAACCTCAGTGATGGGCACAAACAAATGAAAAATAATTCTGCAACTGGAGGAGCCCACAAAAGAGAATTTTTGTGTATATCTCTTATTCACAGGCATATAATAAAGCATCAGAATAAAAATCTTTGGTATTAAATATTCTATATTTCTTGTACTTAAGTTCCATGAGACAAATTATATCCACACAGCTAACCTAAGATGCCAAAATATATGTATCCCAGTTCACATTAAAATAATGGATTCTTTAGAAAAGGTTTAAAAATAAGATTACAATAGAAGTAACTATTAAATTTTAATAATAATACTGAAGTGAGTCAGCTTACTGAAAGCAACATAGGGTCACAGACACTTCTTGTAAATCGGTCTCTGTTCTGTCTTAACCACATAAGAGCATCGTGTGTGTCTTGGAATCTCCCTTTAAGCTTCTCTTCCTTCATATTCATCAGATTTTCAAATTGAGCAATGCGGTCTGCTGTGCCTGCAATTTTAATAATCCCTGAACTATTTACTGTAATTTATGATCACAAATATAGGCAGCAATTTTACTAACAGTCTGAAAAGATGGATACTTAATTAGATACTTTTCTTCTCTTCCAACAGAGGCTAATATTTTTGCAAGAACTTAATGGAGACTTATGAACAGTTCCTGTGAGATGATCCACAAGAGTTCCTGAATCTCCACCAGAAAACAAACCAAATGTATAATGACTGCTATTCACAAGATGTCTAAGAAGCTAGCTCTCATCGCAATAACCACCCTTTTAATAACCAATAACCAATCTTTCTGGTAGTATAAATTATAACTAGAGAATTAGACAAAATTCAAAGATGCGTTTACATGCTTAGAAGGGCTTTAAAACCCCTTCCCCAAAGCTATTCCCCAACACCTGGAAAGTCTTAGAATAGGAATATACTATAAAGAGCTATAATGTGAAAAATTAAATGTTAAAGTAATTCTGGTAGAAATGCTTGGTTGATGCCAGGATCCAAAGTTTAGCAATGAAACTGCTTGCATCTTGCCATGGAACAAATAAGAGGAACATCACATCTTCCATCTGAACAGAGTAGGCAAGTAGTTAGTTATTAGTATCAGTTTATTTCTTTGGAACTCAGGTTGCATAAACAGCAAAAATAAACTTTAGCATGTTTACCTTTCCTTTCTTTTAGCAAGTTCTCCCTTTCTCTTTGCAGATCATTTAATTCACCATCAATATTTGCCTTCTTTTCCTCCAACTGTCTAAGGTCAGCAATAACAGAATCCATTAGAGGCTGAATGTTTTCAACATTCTCTGTGTTTTTAAGCTCATTGGTCCAGTCTTCTATCATCTTACGAGTGTTATGTATTCTCTTCTGCCGATCCATTTCTGCCTCCCTTTTCATCCTTAAAGCTAGTTTAATATCTTCAATCTAAGAAAATGCATAGAAACATTCTCAAGATATGCCAATAAAAAAAGTAAGTTCTCATCATAAAATAGCAAGGAAAAAAGGCAAAGACTTGTTAATATTTTAGTTAATCATGTAACACAAATGAAAGTTGTTGCATGTCAAATAAATCACAATTCCAAAATATCTAATATGGATGATCCCAAACCTATTATTTTGCAAAACAGAAGAACACCAAATGAAATTGGCTAGCATATATGATTATGGGAAACAATATAGCCAAGCATTCAAAGGAAATATATGTGTTTTATAATTCCAAGGTGCCTACCTCATCTAAAATGTATTTTTTAAAGAAGTCAATACACAATAGATACTGTGTGTATAATTAAAATGATTGTTAAAAATCACCTAATTTGAAGATTCTCAGATTGTGAGCTGTGATCACCCAAGGGGTCACAAACAACTGGGGGGTCAGTCTTTTTTAGACTGATCAAGCTTAAATTGGCAAAGGAGAAGTACTGTCAAAACTCACTCCAACTTTGCCTGGTTCAGCCACATTGGGCTTACCCAGGGAAGCAGGAACTCAAAGTGTTGTCAGAACTGTGCCTGGACAAGCCCACAGTAAGCTTGCCCAGACAAGGGGAAATAAACCCTAGAGGAAGTTTCGACAGAATTAGAAAGCACTTTGCCTGGGTGTTATACATAAACTCATCTATCATTTTAGGGGGCTGTTGTATTACAAAGTTTGAGGACCCCTGAAGTAAGTAATTGTCAAAGTAAAATTTGCCAGGGCCTATTATCACACTATAATACAACATTTATACCCCTGAATGCTGTGACAAAACCGAATGACTATCACAAAGTTAATACTGCAGACTGTCATTCATATAATGAGACTCCTCTTTTTCCCACCCCACTGCCCATACCCCAAATGTGCTTTGGAGGGTTCCCTAAACCTCAGGTTCAAGTTTGGGTGGTAGATGAGATGGAACAAGAACCTATTTTGTCAGGTCTGTCAGGAGAACTATGCTACTACAGGTAATCCTCATCTAAGGACTACTTGTTCAGCGATTGTTCGAAGTTACAACAGCACTGAATGAGGGGGCCTTATGACCGTTCCTCATAGTTGCAGCTGTCACAGCGTCCCTGCAGTCATGTGATTGTAGTTCAGGTACTTGGCAACCAACTCACAATTATGACGGCTGAAGCATCCCGCAGTCACATGATCGCCATTTGCAACCTTCAATGCCAGCTTCTGACAAGCAAAGTCAATGGGGGAGCCAACAGGTCACAAATGGTGATCATATGACCACAGGAAACTGCGACCGTGCAGATTCATCCAATGATGGCTACTGGGATGGCCATGGTAAACCAGCATGGTCACATGACATTACGCTTTACAATTTCATTGCTTAGCGACAGAGTTGCCAGTCCCAATTACCACTGTTAAGCAAGGACTACCTGTAAATACAAGTGAAAGATTTTAAGGGAGAAAAAAACTTACTTGCTTGTCTTTTTTCTCCAAAGCATCCTGTTGCAGTTTACATTTCTGAGATGCTGCTTTGATAGCTGTATTCTATATAAGGGAATTTTTAAAGTTAGCAGTCTGTTCTAGTTAACGAATTTACCAACTAATATAGCATCAGAGAGCATGAGCATGCAACTTTTCTACTGTGAATAGACTGAACTGCATATAGTTTGTTTTTTATAACTATTTATGGAGAACAATTGCGACTTGATATAAAAGTATAAACTATTATTGTAGAGTTTATCGTCTGCAATTTGAACAGCTGAAGTCTTGTAGAATCATTTTAAGGATTCAACATAAACTGGATATATTTATTAAGAAGAGGGTTTCTATTTTGGTAACAGTTATGGCCACCAGACTGACACCAAATTTTTGTTTTCTTCACATTCAATACTGCACTGAAATATCATAACTTCCACAAGTAGAAAAAGAACACTGAATGCCTTAAAAATAATAGTTGGCAGAAGTTTACATGTACTGGCTCAAGGTTCTAGGGTTTCAACTAACACTCTAATACTAAAAATTGGACTCAGTGAACTGACCTAGGTTATATTTGCTTCAGATATAGAATGGAACAAGGACACTGGTAAGGAACAGGAAATTTATGCCCTGGGATAAGGCTTCTGCCTTGCCTATTTTTAAGAGCAGAACTTTCAGTTTGCTAAACTAGAGATTAGTTTTCTACTCAATCCTATGACGTCAGAGTCCCAGGGCTGTAGAACACATCTGGTGATTTAAATTCTGATAAAGCTAGTTATGGCTTTATCCTAGCAATTTCCAACTACTGTAAATAATTAGGGATTGTAAATTGTCATTCAGTGGAGGTGAGATTAATCTCTGATCCAGGAACCCTTCCAAAAGGGCATTAGTCTTGAACTGGAGGCTGGTTAAAAAGCTAAACTGCATGGAACTTTTTATTCTATGATTTTAATCCAAAGACTTCTGAAAGTTTTAATAAACAGTTTCAATGTTACATTTCATGACTACAGACTACATTCCTATAACTTTTGTATATACATTAATTATTTTGACTTCTATAAGGAAGTCTTATACTTTACTATGAGGAAAGTGATACAATGAATCTAAAACACATGCCTTTTCCTCAATTTTGGCTTCCAGGCTTGCACATTCCTTCTCAACTTCTCTGATCTGATGAGTCATGGGAGCCTGTGCCTGTTTCAGTGCTCTTAATTCTTCTTTCTGCCTATTTCGGCTTTTTTTTACCTCTTCATGCTGCTCACGTACTTCTTCATATATCTAAAAAGCAATGCATGCAAAGTAATTAACCATAGGATGACGCTATCTGACACTGCTACACTTTGTTCACTTTTCAACTCCTCTGGACACTGAAAAAGGTCATATTTACATAATTACTGTACATTAGTTGGAAGCAGAATAGCCTAGCTAGATATTACTTAGCAAAGGGAAAACTACACAACCAACATACTAGGGGGTTACCAGGTTGAGGAATGCTGCTTTACACTGCACTGTTAATTAAGTTTATACCTGACATCAAATTACAACATACAATATGTTTATACCTTAAGTATTAAGTTTTAGATGCCTGAACAATTTTACAGTGAGATTGCTGTTTGGAATACTACCATAATTGTTTTCTTTTTAACAAATATGACCCATTTGTTGCTCTTTATACTCCTCAACAATTATGGGTTCCATTATCCTGTAAAGTTTCCCTTTTTCCATGTTTTTAAAAAACCAGTTTATTCCTGTCAAGATGAACAATGCATTATATATCAAGGAACTTCTCAAACAGGATAAAGAAAACAATGTAGCATTTTGAAAGATCATGCATTTAATTTGGGGTTATCATTTCAAAGATATTTTTCCTACTTTTTAAAAGAACAGCAGATTAAAATCATATTCAAGGGTTAAATTTTGTGTAGCTAATCACAGGTTCTAGGCTCTCTTTCAGACTCACATGTATGTGTACTATTCAACAGTGTTTTCTTAAATAAGCATATCTCAATTTGTGAATCATAGAAGCAGTCAAGTTTTAAACTATTAAAACAAAGTCAAAAACTCTGTGGATTTAAAATCATATTCAGAATATTTAAAGTGGGATCAGTGTAATGTTTTTCTTGAATTCAAAAAACAACCTAATACAATCAGAATTCAAGCAGATGGTGATTTAATCTGTTTTGGCTTGCCACAATAGAGAATCATCTCACTTTTGCAACATATGACTCTATAGAAGACAACTGAGAATCAGCATTAGCAACCCTGAAAGAACATTGTGAATCTAAATCAACAGATTTCACAAAAAAGGGAACTCTCCCTGTCTGTGTTCAGCGAGGAACATAGACTGTTTATCTCTACTCTTACAATTCACTATCATGAAATAGACTGAAAAAAGATCCTTATATGAGAGTAGATGAGTTTCCAAAACAATTAACCCCACTATCCTGAATGTGGTCCTGGGTTATTGTTCCCCCTCCCCCCATAACTGTTATTTTTATAGTTCTTAACTGACCTTGCCTGCACTTGGAAGCTAAGTAAAATAAGGCCTGGTTTATACTTGGATGGGAATCCCCAAAGATTATCAGGGCTATAGGCTAGACTATGCAGCCAAAAATCATCGGAGAAGGCAGTAGCCAAACACTTCCATAAATTACCATTATAGAATTACATGGTTGTGTCCGTGAAGTTATTAAAAGTTGAGCTTAACTTTATCTTTGTATGATTTATTAAACAATTTGAATTTTTTTCCTACTTTGTCCTAAAATGCTCAAATCAAGTTGCAGGTTGAAAACAAAATCTAAACTAAATTCCAAGAAAATAAGAATTTTAAGAACTGCATATGAGATAGAAATTAGGGGGAAAAAAGAAAAAAGTGAGTTTTTCATAATTTCATTTTGAAAATATTACTATATTTATAATTCATTCTGGATTTGATAGTCATGGAGATCAGCAAAGTACATTTAAAATTCTTACCAACAGCTAGCAATCTCCCTACCTTGTTACTTTAGGCAGTACTGCCTAAATATAAGCAATATATGTAATTTGTTAGACCAAATACAGATTGCATCATACTGACATTTGATCAGCTTCCCCACTTCACTCCAATACTTTCTTCTTATATTAGCCTTGCTTTTGTGCATGTGTATGTCTCTGAGTATATGTGTTTAAAGGTACATTTTCAAATCAGCTTTTAAAAATTAAGAACTTACCACCCATGGCCTTTTTTTCTCAAGTATTGCAATTGAATCTAGATGGTGCTGACGTTCATGATATCGCTCCATATCTTGCTTATATCTTTCATTCTTTTTCTTCATTTTTTCTAAGTTGCTATTTTTTTCCATGCATGAATTCTGTCAGCACATATGTTTTAAATTATTTACATGATTAAATTAACAAAATGTTGTTGTTCATGTTATTGTTGTTCTACCAAGTACTTCATTCAATTAAGTATATCAGAAAAATAGAATATTAATGCAAATAGAAATTGTATCTCTGAAAATAGATCTGATTCTGCTGTGAAACAGAAAAGGAAATGGAATCGTAGTCACAGAAATTATCACTAGAGTGTAGTCAATTATCTGCTCTCAATTTTGTAGAAAGTTCTTTGACCTATCTGATGCTTCCACCTGCCGAACGGGAGAGGCAATTTTTGCCAGTTTTCCCTTCATCTGGACTCTTTGGCGTCCTCCATTTCCTACTGCCATTGATGGAAACCTTTGTGGATCAATGAACATTCAGCAGAGGGACCCACTAGATACAACTCACTTGAAACAACTAATTTAATACATACAAATTCTTCATAATTAGAATTTCTGTTCTTTGCTTTTAATCAGTTCAGATCCTTGTAAATGAGTTAACAGAAGGGACACATTTATTGAATGAAAACATTCAACCAACAATATTATATATCTTTTTTACTTATTAATGGACATTCACATCTCCTATTTTATTTTCCCATTACAGGTAGTCCTCACTTCATTTAGTGACTGTTCGAAGTTACACTGGTGCTGAACAAAGGGACTTACAACCAGTCCTCACACTTACAACTGTCGCAGCATCCCCATAGTCATGTGATTGCAATCCAGGCACTTGGCAACCAGCTCGCACTTACAATGGTTGCAGCATCCTGGGGTCATGTAATCACCATTTGCGACCTTCTCAACCAGCTTCCAGCAAGCAAAATCAATGGGGAACCATGTGATTCATTTAACAACCACCATGATTAATAGCCATGGTGATTTGCTTAGTGACTGTTGCAAAAACAGTCGTAAAATCAGATGTGACTTGCTTAACAATTTTCCAGTCCCTAATGTGGTTGTTAAGTGAGGACTACCTATATGGAAATTATCATAATTCTTAATTCTGTAGCTTAATCATTCATAACTGTATTAACAAGATATCCCTCCCCAAACCAAATCCTCATTCCCTACTTTAACTGTGTTTAAACACTGTATCAACAGTTATGTTAACATAATTGAGCTTCTACTTGGCCAGGATTGCTAATCAGAATTGTGATTGATTTTTTAAAAAATGGTATATTTTATCTCATTTCAGCTTTATTTTTTCCTTAAGAAATGGGTAAAATGACTAACCTTTTTTTAATCTACTAAATAAATAAACAAAATGGCTTCTGTAAGGCTCCCAGAATCTGTTAGAGTGGGCAGCTATAACAAATTTAAATAAATACAATTTCTATATGGGTAATAAAATATTTGTTTAAAATATATCAAGCAATTTAATACATTATCAAAATAATATTTCAATAAAATAAATAAAATAAAATAGTGGTAACTAATATCATAGTTTAACCATATAAAAGAATAAAAGAATAAAAGGACACAGAAAGTTCAAAATAAGCCTGCTTAAATACACCATACGCTCCTTTGCTGTGATGGAACGGAATTATGAAGGCCAAGCTCAGGGAGATAAGCATTTTCTTGACTGATGTCAGGCCTAGCCCAAGGAACTCCAAGAGACCATGCAAATTCAGTCCAGCTATTAGCTACAACCTCTAGCAAGAATCTTCCCAGACTAAAACCCCAGTTCCCAAAGTCCTCCAGCCACAACAGTATGAATTCCTCAGGGAGGTGTCAGTCTCATCCATTTGTTGCCAAGCTCAGGGAGATAAGCATTTTCTTGACTGATGTCAGGCCTAGCCCAAGGAACTCCAAGAGACCATGCAAATTCAGTCCAGCTATTAGCTACAACCTCTAGCAAGAATCTTCCCAGACTAAAACCCCAGTTCCCAAAGTCCTCCAGCCACAACAGTATGAATTCCTCAGGGAGGTGTCAGTCTCATCCATTTGTTCCTCCCACGCGGTTCCGGTGAGCTAAGAAAATGCTTACCTCCCTGAGCTTGGCCTTTATAATTCCATTCCATCACATTTGCAAAGTTTATGCACTCCCTTCATCAAACTTCAATTAGTCATAATCATTAGTAGTAAACCAGCTTCCCAAACAATTGATGCAAGCCATATAATAGACTGATCCATATACAGGTAGTCCTCACTTAACTACCACAATAGGGACCAGAAAATTTGTCGTTAAGTGGGGTAGTCGTTAAGCTAAGCATCACGTGACTGCACCCAATTTTACAACCTTTTTTGCAGCAGTCTTTAAGCGAATCATGCTGTTCCCCATTGATTTTGCTTGCTGGAAGCTAACTGGGAAGGTAGCAAACGGCAATCACATGACCCTGGGACACTGCAACCACTGTAAGTACAAGGTGGTTGCCAAGCGCCCAGATTGCAATCATGTGACCTTGGAGGCGCTACGATGTCATACCTTTGGGCATCGGTTGTAAGTAGCTTTTTCAGCACCACCTTAACTTTGGACAGTTGCTAAATGAATGGTCGTTAAGCAAGGACTACTTGTATATTGACAGTTGAAACGAATTTCATAGCTTTGCTGTACTGCAAACCATTTTGAAAGCATTGATTTTAAATACTGTAAGACAAAGCAAAAACATTTTTTTTCTCTATTTGATAATAATACAGATTACAAGCTATTTTTTCTAAACTAGTTATTTCTACTCATTATATCATTAGATGTTTGGTATTGAGTTTTTTGGAGGGGTTACATTCTTTGTCTTGTTTAGTTATTGTCTTTAGTATTTCAGTTCTTTTGTATTTTTATTTTTTGTAATTTTATTATAAAACACAATAAAGGGAAAAAAAGAGAGTTAAACCTATTTTTCCATTCTAGCTACATGCATTTCTGGTTGCAATAGGAGGGTTTAACATAGCCAATTCTAAAGATAACTAGAGTTCCTTGTTAGTGATTCCATTGTTCTGAGGAGCAAGGACAGAACCAGAAAGCATTAAAGCAATTTCAGTTGTTCTGATTCTTTTATCTAAGATAGTTAAAAAGAAAACTTATAGGAGCCAGAAAGAAGATCCACAATAAGCCAAGAATAAATGAAAGCTACAAGAAACAAAGCCAATAAGCCAAGATAACACCATGCCTGCTCTTCTGAGTAAAGTCATAAAATATTCTGTTTCTCTCTCTAATGAAGGAAATTTCTCTTGTACATGATGCTTTTAGAACTGAAAAAAACCCTGATATTTATTTTTAAAATTATAAAGCTAACACAATATACATCAGACTCTTACTTCAAGTTCTCGCTCCCTCTGCCTGAAATTTTTGAGATCACAGTGAAATCTGTACATCTCTGGTGGACCAATTGATTTCTCTGTAGCTTCAAGCAACTCAGTTTTGGACAATTTTGCAAATTCTCCAACTTTATCCTGCAAAGCAGATGACAAAATACATGCAGTATTTTATGCATGTAAATGCATTTAATTATATAACAAAAGACATGAGGTTTGAACTAATGTAAATATCCAGCAGACAATTTTTAACCTTTCCCAAGTGGTAGCCATCACAGAGCATCTATATGTTAACACACTACAACCAAGCAAGGCTTTTGAACAACAAACGAGCTGCTTCTCCATGTTATCAGCAGAATGTACTCTATTGCCAGCTCCTTCCCATACAGCTTTGGAATGCTGGAAGCAGAGAAAAACCAGCAAAAGGGTATGGCCAGAACAGTTTCAGCTGCTACAGATTGTCCTATGGTTTTCAGTGCGAGACAGCAGCAGTGTATTTCACATAGATGCAAGTCACTCAACTGAGTTAAATAGCAGTATGCACTGTGAATAATTTCACATTTCTAACAGAGCACCAGATTGTACCCAAGAAATAACTACTGCAGAATTTCATTATGAAAGAAATGTTCTATGTGCGGTAGTACCAGTCAGAGAAAGTACTCTAATGATGCTAATATAAATGAGAAAAATCTAATAAATCAAAGAACCATAAAGCTGAAAGGGGCCATTTAGGCTATTAAGTCCAATCCCCTACTGATGCAAGGATCCAAATTAAAGCAATTAAAAAAGATGGCTATCCAATTTCAGCTCATCCAGTGAAGGGAGGTAACTGGTTTCACTGTCAAATTGCTCTTACATTAGGATTTTTTTCCCTAATAGTTAGTCAGAACCCACTTTCCTGTAATTTAAACCCATTATTCTGTGTCATACACACTGGAATGATAGAGGTGGTACTATTAAGTTGATTGTTTTCATAACTTCTCCTATTGTATCTAATACCTAATTTCAAGTCATAAGCATTTCTCTTACACTGGATTTCTCATATCATTACATCCCTTTAGCATTTCCTTTATTGAAACTGCTAATATTTATATTTTCTTAAAAATGAAAATTATTCATACCTGTGGAAGAAACTGGCACAGATTACCCACTTGAATATTTAAGGCCAAGACTTGTTCCTCTACCATTTTGAGAGTGCAGGGGGTATCATTAAGAAACCAAGTTGATTGGTTGTTTGTTACAAAAATTTCTCGTTTGATAATAACATTGTTCGGCTTCTTATGCCTAATAAACAGAAAATAATTGTTATATTTTACCTTAGGCTATAACGTATGTACTATTAAAATAAAACATGTTCATCTCAACATATTTTCTCAACATATTTTCAATAAATTATTCAAGTACACTTGTAAAAAACAGACATATGAACAAGTCTCATTTACTCACACCTCAATTTCAACTGTTCCTTTGCTGCAACCCCGCTTCACATAATGACCAACCTGAGCAAAAGGAAAAGATATAGATATAGATATACATACAATCTTAATTTATAAGTATTGCATATCACTTATGAAGTGTATGAACTGTAAAGCTGTTTAATACAAGTTGGGGCAGAATGCCAGTGAAACAAAAATGGAATGCAGAGGAGAGTAAGCATAATGAAGTACCATTTTTTGGTTACCTAAACTCAACACACAACCTAGCAGCAGCACTTAGCTCTCTAACTCATGACAGAAAGCACAACTGTCAGTACAACTTCTATGTACAGCAAAATATGCATTTTAGTAAGGAGCACGAAGCAAATGGCATAAAAGTAAAAACAGCATAATGTGACATTTAGTCGCCTTTGAAACCATTACAGTTAAAACAATCCAGCAGATTAAGGAGTAGCACCAATAGAACAAATTATACTGAAGGACAACAAAACATTCCAGAGGTAGTTGGGATTTTAAAGACTTCATCTCTTAATGTAGATTCAGATGTCCAGATTCTCTGATACAGTCTTCATAGAATGCAACCTCAGACTACAATTTAAATTAACTTCTCTTTTTTATTACTTTTTTAGGTATACATTACTTTTTTAGGTATACATAATTTGTGATCCAGTTTTTTCCCAATAAATAAGTCTTATTTATTCAGTTCTTTCAAAAGTTGTCACTCCAATCAAAAAATGAATCAAAGCATCTTACAAAAATCGATATACTATACAATAAATTATTCTCTCTCTCTCTCTATATATATATATATACACACACACACACACGCACACACACATAAAGTAGACAGATATCAGCAATAAAATAAAATCACAATAACTATAACATTATTAGCTGTGCCCAGTTACATACATCTTAGGAACATTCATCATCTATATCAAGACATTAAAAACAATAGCATGCGCCCTTAACTATTTTTCTAAACTATGTAATGTCTTATGTCATGTTGTAAATTATAGCATCTTTTCTAATTCAGTAGTTATTTCTTTTTATTTGCTAGTGTTAGATTAACTCAACTGCAGTCTTTTGAAAAAGTCATCTGAAAATCACCAGCAGCTTTTCTTCTGAGCTCTAGCCAGATATTCCCTATGTCCTTTAAGTTTTACACCGGATTATACATAACATTAACAAGTAATTTTGTACATTTTCTAGGGTGCTTAGCCACTGGTATATAGCTTTGGGGTGAAAGTTATTTAGAAAAAGAAGTACACAAATAATTAAATCAGGCTCGCTCCTGGTTCTGTTAATCAAGTAATATCTTCTAGCAGGAACTAGAAAGCAGACCTTCTCCGTCATGGCAACTGCCTCTGGAATAGCCTCCCCTTGGAGATTTACATGACTCCCACTTTACTGAGCTGTAAAAGAGCATTAAAAACATGGCTCTTCCACCAGACCTTGGGTTAGAGTGATTGGGAACCCTTTTTGTCTGTTTTTATTTCTGCTGGTGGCAGAGAGAGTTGGTTGCTTTACACTTCAATGATGCTATATTTTGGGTTAGAAATCTGATTAATAAATGAAGATGAAAATCAACTATGAAACATAGTGCATTAAGCTTATTTTACAAAAGATCAGCATTTATTTGCAATTTATTATATGGAAATGATTTTATACAATTTAAGCATATGTACCCTAACAGATATCACTGGAATCCAGTATCATATAATTCCAAACAGAACCAGACCAAATCCTCACCTTGTCAGCTCGTCCTATAAAGGAAGGTTTTCCTGCCAATCCAAGGCATATTGCGCATACAATGCTTGATTTACCTGTCCCATTAGCTCCCACTATCATGTTTAGATGAGGACCTGGAAACACCACACAGTTATCATAGGTTCTGAAAAGCAATTAAAAAAAAAAGTTTATAAGCAGGTTATTTGTGAAGATAAATAAAGCAGAATTTATGCCATCAATAAATCAGATTTTTTGCAATTTTTGCCCTAATGTTTTGAGTGCTCACCAAAGTAGAAAGGCAGGATATAAAGCAAGAAAGAAGCTAACAAGTAGATAATATATTTAAGATAATCTGACTTTAAATTTTGATTCAGAAACAGAGAAAAATAAAATCCTATGCCACAAAGTTTATTAAACAACAAAGAAATTAACATATCCTAACAGAAACAAGAATCCTATCTAAAGCTAATCTTTCAATGCCAGATCTGTTAACCATCAAAAGTTTGCAGCAACTCCCTACAAGGAATAGATATATCTGGGTCTCTTAGGAAAAAAGGCAAATGTAGGGGGATATAATACTTATGGTGTAGAGAAAGTGAATGAGAAGTTTTTCACTGCCAGTCATAATAGCATTAAAAATCAAGTTAATCTAATAGAACCAAACTGTGAGACATTCAGACAAAAGCATACAGTTAATTTGTCAATTCATTCTCACACAATATAACATTGGGCACACACTTGGACAGCTTTAAGAAAGGTTGTCAGTCAATCATTATGGCTAAATTATCAGCTCCAGTACCAAAGGCAATATGCCTCTCACTACCAGTTACAGAAGTAGAAAAATGTTGTTATATTCAGGCTTTTGAATACAGACTGCCAGTGCATACTTGGTTGGCCAGTCTTGGATGAAAATGTTTAACTAAGTGGACCTTTGACCTGATCCAGCAGTGCTCTTACCTTTCATGAATATTTGCAAATTGAGGCATTAGTGACCAAGTGATAAACATCACTATAGCAACAGTCCAGCTTTATTTAATATAGTAACTGTGCAACTGCCCCAATGTATTCAATAGGATTTACCACCAAACACACGGCATTGGATTTCAGCTTTCCAGCTGATTGTGTACATGTTTATTTAGAGACCCCACCAAAGCTAACAGACCATATGTCTATGTAAATTTGCACAGGAATATCAATCCTGTGCTCACTTACATGAAAGCCCATCTTTTTGAACTTTGAAGTCTGCATTCCCCAATCTTCTCCCTTTTGGATATAATGGATTAAAACTGCTTTCACCTCCATCCCATACAACTGACCATACTGCTTCCGTGTGAAAGAAATTATAATCAGCAATCATCAGATAGATGTTCGACTGGAAAAGGCTGTTTTAAGTAAAGGGTCAGAGAGACCCGTTCCTCCATTCCTCAGGAAGTTGAGAGTCCCCAACTGTACAGATGGCCAGTAGGGCATTACTGTACAGAGGGCAAGGAGAAATCAGAAACAGTGGGATACACACTACTCTACAGACCTCTATTCGACTTGAAGCAATTACTCCCTTCCCTTTTAGGTGCAACAGAAGGTCTAGAATTCTCTATCTTAGGATCTGAGGCAACATGTGTGAAGACGAAAGCCTGGTTTTATGGTGGGGCAACTAGTGCTGGTGATAAAAGACGACATTAAGGCTGCCTTGGATTTAGGGTAATCAAGCTTGAAAGTGCCTGTGCAAAACACTACCCGGAGCTACCCCTGAAGAACGCTGCGAACCCACGACCACTACGAGCTCTCTGACAGCGGGAAGAACGTTTCCTGAGGAAACAGGAAACCCCGCCTCTCGGCCTTGCGAGAGGCCACGCCCACTGCGCCTCATTTTTCTCCCCCCGCAGTTATTGGGCAGCTGTACAGCGCCTTCCCGTGTGCCTCGCGTACTCACAGGAAGTTCTCCATGGAGATCCTCCTGATAGCGCCCTCAACGAAGGGTGAATTTGCCTCTTGTCGGTCACCCGCTCGCGGCTGGGTTTCCTCCAAGGTCCGTTTATTGCGGCGATTGTTGCCACCGCTCCTCCCCGCCTCAGTTTCCTCAGATTTACGCTTGGCAGGGGCCGCCATCTTTGCCGCTTCCCGCAACGACTAGTACGAGTTCTAAGGTGGGTTAGGAAACCGGCAGTGCGCGCTCGTCTCCCATTGGTTGCCTTGATATCGTCAGGCTGCGGGCGTATGTCATTGGTTACAACAATCCTCAGTCTCGTGAGTATTTCCGTTGGAAGAAAACAGCACCATTTCCTCTTGTTCGGTCGCATAATCAGCCAGGGAGGGAGCTCAGTAGATCTCAATGCCTATTGGCTGTGGAGAAAAAAAAGGCGGGAACGAGCATTTTCACTGGGCGCGAAAGTCAATGGGGTGGTGTGTTTCCTTGCGAAATCGTGAGCTGTTTTGGAAGCTGCTGCATAAATCTATCTTTACTCTTTAATAATTTGCAGTAGACTTTTTAAATACATTATAAATTAGGACTAGTAGATTTGGGCTGCAGAAATGTGGACTACCACTAGATGGCAGTAGACAGCTCTCCTGCTACCTAGTGGTCGCCCCAGTTTATGCAGTGGAGAACTTGTGGCCCTCTTAGAGAAGGTCTCTCTGATGCAACTATGGGTGGTTGCTGGTGATTAGGAAAGGAGGTAGGGTGTATAGTTAAGGGTAGAAAAATGAGTATTCTGTGCAAAACTGGCCAAGAATAGTGTTGATTGCTTCCCTATCAACAGAAAATGCTTTCCTGCCTCCTCACTCCCAGTGTCAGTGTAGGATGGGATTACAAATCCCAGTTATCAATGAGTGTTACCGAAGTGACTGTGGCAGCGATTTTGGTTGAACATGAGCATCACATTATATATATGTGATCCTTACTCATCTAAGGACTTCATTGCTTTTTTTATTCTCTCAGGCTAGAATAAGTTAAGGCATCTCAGCTTTCCATGGGATAGTCTTTTGTGTCCAATGTTTTTTCCCAGCTTCATGTTCTCCAGATCTGTAGCTATTCTGGCCCTGGTTAATTGGGCTCATATTCTAAAATATCTAGATAATACCAGTTTGTAGAAAGCACATAATAAGCATTGGTAAAAGCAGAACTGCTAGTCTGTTGCATTAAAACTGGCTATGAGGTGTTATTTGCAATGTAAAAACTCTAAGATTTCTTTTAATGGGAAACAGTATAAAAATGTTTCTTTTTCAATAAGTTGTGCTACAAAGCTGCTTCTTTTAGGCACTCTTTATTATGTTGTGCCCAGCCACTAGTACTTATTGATATGTTCTATTGGATTATTTCACTCCACTATAGTACTTAATATTATTGTATAAACAAGCAGCATGAAATATTTAAAACACATAGTTTTGTTTTACAATTGTCCTCATCCTATTAAGATTTGTAGTGAATAATCCTATGTACACAAGTAGGTGCATGTCACTGGACTTAATAAAATTTCCATTTACATTCTTATTCTGCTGTTCCTCAAAGAAGTCCAAGGCTGCCCTCAACTTCCATTCTGTCCTCATTACACTGTGTAATGTGTGTGAGGGATTGGCAATTACATAATGAACTTGTTATCTGTTGAGGATTTGAACTTGGCTTTCCCGAATCCTATGACTGCAATATAACTTGTCACATAATTGTTTAAGAATAAGTCTTGCCAAAATACTTTCATTTTTCAATCAAGTAACATCTGTAGAAAAGGAAGCTTCTTTCTTTTTCATGTACCTGAGGGGGTATCACAGAAAAGGTTGACATCTGTTTGTCATCCACATGCAGGATGTGGAATAATAGGTTTAAATTACAGAAAGGCAGTTTTTGATTGAACGTTAGAAAAAAAATCCTAAGGAAGCAGTTCAACAGAAGAACCATTATCCAGGAGATCTTATTTATTTACAGTCTTTGTATGCAGTTGCTGAACTCCCTTCACAGGATGGGTTCAGGTGGAAACTATACAGTCACTTGGCAGGGAAGTTTTCATTTGGTTTCCTGTAGTAGGTGGGTCAGACTCATTGGCTCAACTAGGTCTTTCCAATTTTAGTATTCTAATCTGTAAGTTAGTATTATCCTTATAGGCCAAAGTTGGGGAATTTCTGACACATCTGACTTTTATACAGTGCATTCAGAAAGTATTCAGACCCCCTTCACTTTTTTCAAGTTTGTTATGTTGCAGCCTGATACTACAGTTGTTCAAATTCATTTTTTTTCATTAACCTACACTCAGTACCCCATAATGACAAAGTGAAAACAGAATTTTAGAAATGTCTAAATTTATTAAAAAGAAAAAAATTAAATATCACATGTACTTAAGTATGCAGACCCTTTACTCAATACTTTGTTGAAGCACCTTTGGCAGCAATTACAGTCTTTTTTGGTATGACGCGACAAGTTTTGCACACCTGGATTAGGGGATTTTCTGCCATTCTTTTTTGCAAATCCTCTCAAGCTCAATCAGGTTGGATGGGGACTGTCGGTGGACAGCCATTTTCAGGTCTGATTTTCTGCCATTCTTTTTTGCAAATCCTCTCAAGCTCAATCAGGTTGGATGGGGACTGTCGGTGGACAGCCATTTTCAGGTCTGATTTTCTGCCATTCTTTTTTGCAAATCCTCTCAAGCTCAATCAGGTTGGATGGGGACTGTCGGTGGACAGCCATTTTCAGGTCTGATTTTCTGCCATTCTTTTTTGCAAATCCTCTCAAGCTCAATCAGGTTGGATGGGGACTGTCGGTGGACAGCCATTTTCAGGTCTGATTTTCTGCCATTCTTTTTTGCAAATCCTCTCAAGCTCAATCAGGTTGGATGGGGACTGTCGGTGGACAGCCATTTTCAGGTCTGATTTTCTGCCATTCTTTTTTGCAAATCCTCTCAAGCTCAATCAGGTTGGATGGGGACTGTCGGTGGACAGCCATTTTCAGGTCTGATTTTCTGCCATTCTTTTTTGCAAATCCTCTCAAGCTCAATCAGGTTGGATGGGGACTGTCGGTGGACAGCCATTTTCAGGTCTTAAATTTCAAGTGTTGTTGCAAAGGGTCTGAATACTTATGCCAATGTGATATTTCAGTTTTTCCTTTTTAATAAATTTACAGACATTTCTAAAGTTCTGTTTTCACTTTGTCATTATGGGGTACTGAGTGTAGATAAATGAGAAAAAAAATGAATTTGAACGATTGTATCAGGCTGCAACATAACAAAATTGAAAAAAGTGAAGGTCCTGTCACTGAATATTTTCTGACTGTACTGTATGTATAAATGCTTTCTCTTCGTTTTAACTCTTTTATTATAAAAATAAATTTAAGACTCAAAATAATGGAAAAAAGTCAATAGAAAAAGGACTAATAAATAGCTTCCATAAAGACCCTCTTTCATATACTGCCCCAATACAGTTTTTAGAAAACGTTTATGTAACATGTTCTCCATAACAGCAGGTAAGCAAAAAGCCATTTTTTCTACCATCTTTTTTTATCCCCTCTCCTTTTTTTCCCCATCAAAAGGTTCCTTTTGACCTCCCTTATCTTCTTACATGTGATCTTATCTAATTCTGAAATGGAGGTTGCATTTTGTGATTAAAACAGTTTTTCAAGTGCTGTCATGCTTAGATTCTAATGAGCATAATAACAAGGCCTTGATGTAGCTAGACTTTTAGCCTCATAAGCGTGTTAAAGGAAAAGGGGATGAAAAGTATTAGTATAATCCCATGTTCATAATGGAGTTTATTTCACTTCCATCTCTGCCCGTTTCTGTTTGAGGCAATGAGGTTATCTCTACCTGGATTTAATGGGTTCCACAGTAAGATACTGGAAATCTCCAATGATTAATGATAAAAGTGAATTATTATTTTTTTTGGCATATATCTTATATACCTTGTTTATAAATCACCTAATTCTACCCATCACTGCTTTCCATTATTTCAGCACTGTACCCACCTTTATTGGTGTGCCGCGAGAGGAAAGCACCACTGAGAAAAAGGCAGAGAAAATCTAGCTCTTATAAATTCATTTAATTAGTTGAATTTTGAGTCCACCTGATTCCAGACAACTCTAGATGTATTACATAATAAAAGGAGTAAGAACAAAAAGAATTTTATAAGAATTCCTCAATATCTGAAAGGAGGAAACAACACCCAAAAAACACCCCAAAGAAGAAACAGGGGCTCAACAGCCATCCTACCTCCAGACCTGGGAGCAAAGCCAAATTTTCAATGACTTTCAGAACACCATCATGATAAGTTATATAGATCTCTGTTCTAAATGGCAGATTCTACAACAGAGGTGAGTTTCTAGGTCTTGATAGATAGATCACATTGATTAATTGAAGGGACCCAGAGCACATCCACTCTGCCCAATCTAGGATCAGGCAGAATGGGCATGATCTAGGTCACTTCAGTTAAATGTGTCATCTAATGTGTCCTAAGAAGTGTGCCTTTTCTGTTACAGTGCCTCAGGATAAATATAGATTCTCAAACACCCATATGTAGCATTGAGCATGTGGAATTTTAGAACAGGAAATTCACTGAGACCAATGGTACAGCAGAGGTGTCAAAATGGGCAAGATGGCAGATATAGCACTGTGATGCAAACTCTGCCTTTTTAAATGTGTGTTAATGTCAAAAGGGGTGAGGCTTGTGTTGGCCACAAAAGAGTGGCAGGTTTGTCTACGCGGCACACAAGGTCCAATCAACACACCAAGCCAGGGAATCCTTTTATTCTTTTTATTGAAGCACTTCAGCAAAAAGAGTCCTGTCTCTCCAAGGAGAGGAACCTTGAGTAAAGTTTTACATCAAACTTTATACTATTCAAAAATAGGGAAGTAGGTATGGAAAAACATGATTGGTTACATTGTTGCACAGACACACTTGATTCCATGTTACATACTAACATCACATAATAAGCTTAACATGTTCTATGTTTTCTAAAATTTCTACCTTAGGGGTGTGTTTTGCTATGTTAATTAGCTTTAGATTACACTAGGGTAGCAGGTGGTCTCATAACAAGGTCACTCAGTGGTTTCTGGATATCTCAAAACCCAGTCCTTTTCCCCTTCTCAAAGTACAACTTTCCATCTACTGTCAGACACCTGTCGCACAACCCACTTCCTCTTGAAACTTAACTGCAAGCTGTTTATTAGTATGCTCTAGTAAATAAGCACTAAACAATATTCTGCCATGTGGCCCTCAGTTGTATGGCACTGATCCATATATATAAGTATACTTTATCTGCCCTGCACTCTAACCTGATAACAACAGGCATTGCACACTTGATATTCTTTTGAAAACTCAGAAAATACAGGATTTTTGCAATTTCCAAGTTATAAAACTGGAGCGTGTTATTCTTGAAGTCTCCATTAGATGACAGGAGAATACTACAAGCAAGAAAGAAATATATCAACCATTAAGCCATTTACTTCTCATTTTTGACAAAAAAAGCATAGACACAATGAATGATGTAGAAAATGTAATTCTATTTAAATATGTTCAATAAATAAAATAATTAGAAACACCAATTACTGAAAGGTAGTAGCAAAACTACTAACAATATTTTATGGAACAAAATAATAATTAATGAGTAAATGGATACAGTGGGGCAAAAAAGTATTTAGTCAGCCACCAATTGTGCAAGTTCTCCCACTTAAAAAGATGAGAGAGGCCTGTAATTTT